CCCCTCAAGTTGGTGTTTCATGTCCAGTCTACTTCGTAATTTTGTTTTAGTCGCCGTTGCTGCAGAAAACCCCCGCCTCACACAGGTAGGATGTCGGAAATAGCAACAGTGCTATTGTGGCGATCTCAGAGTATTCAGCCATAACTTTAATCCAGTTGTCTCGAACGTACTTTTAAGGCCGCCGTCATTTGCGATCTCCAGCAGTTTTTTTTACTCATTTTGCGAGCTCCTGCGTTTTGTTTTGAAGTAATCGGTCCCATGATGGAGAAGCGTGGCTTGACGTGTGTCAAGTGTGACACAGACGGTTGTAACGGAGAATCCGGTAGTTTTTCCAAATAAAACAGCTTTCGTATTCCGAAATAGATAAAACGGAATTAAGGCAAGTTCTTTCTGTGCGGCCCGGTACCAAATGCCCGGCGGACCGGTACTGGTCCGCGGACCGGCGGTTGGGGACCCCTGCACTAGGACACACAACTGGAAAAGTTGTCAAGGGCCACGCCAACATGCATTACATCATATTGTTTTAGTAAGATGCTACTTCTTTGTAAATAGCATACCCTGTTATAATAAGGAAATATAAATGGTAAACAAAATTACCGGTCATTGAAATTACATTAACCTACACATCCTGCATTAATTTTTTTACGTCTTTATCTTTAAAGTGTGATGACATTATGAGCACCAGCCCCTAATGCGTATTAGCCATTCCAATTTGACACTCTGAAATGATTATTAAGGTAAATCTTCCTTGCCCTTTGGCCTCCATTGTGCAAGGATGCAAACAATGTTTGGCCTCTACCAACGAATCGTGATGACGCCTCATCCCTGTATACATGTACAAAAATATCTTCGCAGCTCCATGAGTCCTTTGGTGGCTGGCTGGTTAGCCGGCTAGTGTCGTGGCTAAATAGCAGCTGCTCCTTTCAAAGTGACTCATCATCGCACTCATTATGGCAAATAAACACTTTTGACAAGTTTCAGGAGCATGAAAGGTGGACGAGTTGGAATTTACAGTGGGAGGCATGCTAATGCTAAGCCATGCTAATACGGCTCCAAGCTATCATTTGATGTCACGAAACACCGGAATAACTGAGTGAAATTTTCACGAAAGTCTCACTGCAGATTTCATTCCGGCGGAGCATAACCAAACGTGAACTGTAAAATAGCAACTGTCAAGAGAGAAAATAGAATACACAGTACCACACAATACAGCACGAAAACCATGAATTATTTAATGCAGTAAACACATCATCCAAGATGAAGGACCTCTAAAATCAAAAGCATATACGTCCGATTGGCACTCGTGGTGAGGAATCAGAGAGCGCCGGCCGGCCTAAATGACTCCTGCTAGCCAGAAGCTGAGCTGCACATTGTTTGTTTACAGTGGAGGCGTCTAGTTAGAGCATGACGCGGCTACACTTCTTGTCCCTTGATATCTCGCTTTCTTTGTTTACTACTAACCTAGTTTGCCAACCCAGACTTCACCCAACCTATCTCTGAGGTTGTTGACGAAGTCATCCAGAACTGCCCTATTGATGTCAGGCGTCCTCTCTACAAGGTAAGCTGGCATTTACAAAGTACCACACAATTCATTATCAGTCATATTGACACTACATGTCTGACTGACTCATGAACTGATTTTAGTTTAGTAAGTCAAAGTTTAATCAAACTTTTCTTGCTCAGAACATTGTTCTGTCTGGAGGCTCCACCATGTTCAGGGACTTTGGTCGCCGTCTGCAGAGAGATTTAAAGAGGACTGTTGATGCCAGATTGAAGATGAGTGAAGAACTGAGTGGGGGCAAACTGAAGGTGAGGAACATGTACTTCGTCACAACAGAGACTGAAAAAGAACCCAAATATTTGGGTGGTGAACTAAATGGTTTGAATATAGGTTGTAGATAAATTGTGATTTTTTTTTTTTTTTTTTTTGTAATTTGATTACATTCTTCCTTGAAAGGATTTAATGCCAAAATGTGTCAAAAACAAACATGTTTTTTGATGTTTTTTTTTTTTAATTAAAAAAAAAAGTTCATAAAGGGCTTCTTTGCTCCCAGTAACTATCAAGCCTGTGGGAATGAGTTCAGTATGATAAATCACCACTAGATGGCGGGGGTGCCATTGATTAAATTTTGTTCCACACATCATTTGAGTGGGTGTGTATGCGTGTATCCAATACTGCGATCCTCTGTGGGGAGGTGGCGTGGTAAAGCAGTGTGGTGGCAAGAATATGGATAAATACCGGCAGCTCACTCTACAACAGAGCTTTTTCAAATTAAAAAAAGATCCACTCCTCATTCTTGATGAACACACACACAAAGCATGCAGGCACACACACACACACACACACACACACACACACACACACACACACACACACACACACAGTTCGACATTCATGAAAAGTTCGTTGAAACTTGATGCATAATTTACGCATCAGTGCAGTTTATCTCACAAGAAACTTACTTTGCAGTCAAAGTGACCTTTTTTATACGTTCTTATTTAGTAGGAAAGCATTGTTTAGATAGTTGAAGTGTCACAAATGTAAAAAAATTAAATAAAAAATAGCATCAAAGTGAAAGTTCTGCTTGAAATGCATGCATCCTTCCTCAAAAGGCTCTTTTTCTCAAACATTTTCTTGGAAACGAGTATTGCCAAGAAACTTACCAATGTTCACCTGCTCTTTATGAAAGAATGGTAAAAGGTAGAAATGTACTTTTTTTCACGATGAACAAAGAGGGCTCAAGCTTAGGCGTAGAAAAAAAAGGAGCGTGTTTCCGGTAACCCGACCGACCGAGAATTTCTACGTCGAAAAAAAACTTTACGGTCGTCAATTTTTTTTCAAACAACCCTCTACATTTTTGTGTAGAGGGTTTACATCGGTGCAAACTCTGGCGATATTCACATTGAGCGCGTGCGTCATTTGCCCTGTCGTCTGTCAACAACATTGAAACATGGCGGCGGCCGTGATCTCCGACGACGGTTTAAACCGCGTTTTCTGTGTTACAGTCGCGTGCTCGCACCGTAATGTTAAGAAAATAGCATCCATTGATGTATCGAAAAAATAAAGCGAACTCT